CACCTCCACTGGTTGGGAAAGGAGGGTCTCGAACAGGTCAGGATAACGTGTGTGCCACACCGTGCAGCCAGACTGTCTGCCTCCTGGCGCTTGGTGCTTGTCTTCTCACTAACGCTGAGAAGCTAGGCAAGACTTATTAGGATACTCCAGCTGTGTCCCCGTCATGCTCTAGGAACCCGGAGATGGTTGTCTATTGCATTATCAGGGTGAGAATCATTCTTGAAGGAAGAGGAAGATGAATGGCAGGCCAAGGTCAGAGTCACACAAGCCAGCAGAAATCTCTCGCCGGCCCATTATCCTCACAAGCCAGAGCGCTGGAAACGCAAGATTTTCATTAAGCATGGCCGCATTTCCTCCAGGCTCCTAAAGAGCCCAGTGGTCTCTTTCCCCTGTCATCAATCAAGCAAAGTGGGCTGTTCGTGGAGATATCATAGAGATAAACGGCAGGCACTGACCTCTGACCAAATCTGCAGACGGACTCCGGCTGGCCGGCAATGTCAGAAAAGCAGTGGACAGAGGGTCCAGCTGGGAGGGCAATCTGACATCCAGATGCCCCAGCACGAACAATCTATCCCCAGGCAAGGCCTCTGTGCCAAACTGCTGCTAGCCCACCTGTCTTGAGAGGGCACGGCGGCCAGGTCGGAGGACGGAGCAGATGGTGGCCTAGGGTCAGGGGTGGGAGGAGGCGCTGTACACCACTGAATCAGAAGGGAGAAGATGAAGGAGCATCTGTCTCCACATAAGCCTCCCTTGGCTCCAAACACACATGTGGACACCTGCAGCCAGAGCAGTAAGCAGCTGCACCTGCAGAGACTACCTATGTGCATGATTCACAAGGCCTTCCGCACTGCCCTTATCCGGTTGCCAACTGGAGTCTTTACCACTAAGTAAGGCACTGGAAGTGACATGAAATCTTGGGTCGCTGGGATGGAAGCCTGGGGGAGTGTGTCAGAGGAAAAGCTCCTCTTACCAGATTGTCAGAGACCTATGACCAGGGGAAAGAACAGAAGCTTCTAGGAAATGGGGACTAGCAGGTCTGTGATATACTTTAGCAACTTGAATGCCAGAGGGAGGGGTGATGCTGCCAGGCCACCCAACAACTTTTAAGTACACAGAGATGTAAAAATTCCAATCGGAGAGGACATTTTATTACAACACCATATTGGCCCCCACAGCTTAGATCAGACTGCAATGACCAGACAGGCAGTTCATAATAAGCCAGCAGACTCTGGGAACACATCTGAATGCATGGGGTGCCAATGGGATAATGCTTCTGCTAGTTCAATTACAAGCTGATATCACTGGCAGAGGCAGTTCTAGTGACAGAGCACAATAGCAAGTCTTCCCTGAGCAAGGCTGCCTGGGAAATCTTAGCAAATTCTCAGGATTCTGAGGGACTGGTTATCACTTTTATTACTGGCTGAGTCAGCCAAGCCCTAAACTAACTTGTCAAGAAAACAAAAATGAGAAACACCCAAGTCAGACAGTGCTTTGTAGGGAAGAATAAACAAGAGCACACAGGCAAGTGCAATGTCTTTTGAAGTCGCTGGAAGCCACTTATGATGTGGGAGTGTCATATATCAATCTGTTGATTTTATTGGCTAAGTAATAAACAAACTGCTTGGGCTCATAGCTTAGAACATAATGCTGGGAGGAAGAGGAAGTGAGGTAAGACGCCTCAGACAGAGATGCACAGCTCTGCTCTCTGGAGAAGAGATGCCATGCTCCGCTCCCAGGCAGACACATACGATGAAGCTCCGACCCAGGATGGACGTAGGCTAGAATCTTCCCGGTAAGACTGGTGCTCACTAAGACTGGTGCTCACAGATTATTAGAGATGGGTTGATTGGGATATCAGAATTAGCCAGTAAGGGCTAGAGCTAAAGGGCCAAGCAGTGATTAAAAGAATACAGTTTGTGTGTAATTATTTCGGGTAAAGCTAGCCGTGCGGGCGGCAGGGTGCTGGGGACGCAACCCCGCCGCTCCTTATTACAACACACTTACTTGGGTATTTTTCTTCCAAGGGACTTTCTCTGTACTAAACAACAACCAAATTGATTTGCTCTAATAGTACTTGGTTGAATTTTCAAAACAGAAATCCCTGACCACAAGGCTCAGAGTCTCTGAGACCAGTTCACTTCCGTAGAGAAACCTGGAGATGGATGACCTTGCAAAAGTGCCCTATGCTTTTACAATCCTTGGATTCTTTCGTCCCAAGGGCAGCCATCTGGGGAAGGAACTAAAACGGACTTGGGAGCTCCATTTCCAGGGGGATTTTCATTAATTTCATCAAGACAAAGTTAATAATCCATGACAGCAGTTTTTTTTCTTCAGTTGGTTGTTCTAAGCATGTTAGAGTCTTTTCGATAAATCTCACAGCTAGAGGCTAGTAGAAATTAGTTTGCCTTCTACACTGTCATTAGGAAGGAAAGAAGTGGTAATAGTTTCTGAGAAAACTTGAAGGGAATGGCTTGTAAATGAGATGAATCTACAAGCTTCCCAAGTGTTGGGCAGAGGAGTAAATAAATCCACTCTCCCCTCCCATCATAGCCCCGCAGAAGGATGTAGATACAACAGACAGGGGGAGAGAGAGAGAGATCCTTCTTTAATAAAGTGCTTTACTTATCTCTATATAAAGAGGCTTCTAAAGACCATTTAACTTGGGTCTCGAGTCCCAGGTTATTAGCAGAGTCATCCCATATATTCTTATTGATGGTCTTCAGGGTCTTTCATGGAGAGCTAAATGGATTTAAAACATGCTCTGTCTTCTTCAGACAAGGCAGCTGAATGAGGGATGTGGGCAGTGAGAAGCACAGAGCTTCTGATCCAGGTCTGGAGGGGATGTAACTGCTCTCCTATACAAGGTGATGTTTTTAGCTGCCAAATACAGGTACGTGGGCATCTTCAGCCTTTCCGTGGACACTTCTACTATATTGGCCACCTCTCCCATACTGATGGCTTTCCTAACAGCTCAGTCCTGTTCTACACAATTCCCACAAGTTCTCTCATTTACTTTTGATAATGATCCTCTACGGTAGCAGATTTTCATGTCTTGGATTGACAATGCAAGAAACAGAGGCACAGAATAGCAAATGAATATTAATTGACTAAACAGTAATGGTGGTGTTGGCGGCACAACTGCCATAAAAAGGTCTCTATGGTTTTGTTCTTTCTTTTTCCTCCTTATGTGGTACCTGTGTCTCAGAGAGAACGGGGACAGGGAGAGACCCTGAAGTGTGCGGCTCAGAGCCTTTGCTACAAGTGTGGGTAATCACCACTTTAGTATGCCATCAACTGAACTTCCCCTCATCCCCCAAAACCCCCTTGTTCTCTTCCAGAGAGCAGGCTCTTTGTACCTACCAGGCCTGAACTCCTTACAGGTACCAACTCATAGCAAGAAGAGCCATTGTGAACTTTGACAAGTGTAGACCTCTTTCCTCTGCCACATCCTGTACTGCCCCTGTCTGTGCGGCTGAAAGTGGCCCTCCTTTGGGGAAAACTGAAGTAGCTCACGTAATGAAAACTGGAAAATAGGTAGAGGGATAGGAGGTAGGAAAGGGACCAGGATGACAGAGGTTGCAGAGGAATAAAACACATCAAGAGAGCGGGAACCTGGGAGATCATCAAGGGAAGGAGAGCCATGAACTTAGGTCCAGCCAGCAAAAACATTCCCCTCTCCCCATGACAGAATGGGGACACTCATACAGCCCAGCCCCTTGTCCAACTTTGCACTTATCCACATGGAAAGGGAGAATAAGCAGACATGCTTCCAGGGAGAGGGGCCCACTTGACCTTTATCATCTCTTCCATTCCCCGGGAAAAAGAAGACAAAACAAAATTATATCATAGGCCTTTCTAGCCCACAGCTCGAAGTCTCTAGTTCATGGCTCTGTTGAGGACCAGTGCTCCAATCTCTTAAGCAAATCCTCACCACCTCGGAAAATCTTAGCTATTCTATCATGCCAATTTAGCCATTGTGCTCTCTGGCACAGTGGGCACCAAAGGAGGAAAGGTGCTCCAACTGTAACCAGCGTCACCTGTGTTTCCTGCCCATCGAGAACTAGTTTCTCATGTGTAACATCTACGAGATGGTTTTCTTCTCCTTCTGACAACATAAGATTATAGAGTTGGATTCTATGTTTTCACTAATAAAGTATTTCTAGAGCCCACCCAAGATTCCCATGGTCCCCTCTCCATTATGAAGGTCCCCTGATGTGGAGACACCAACAGGTCCTAAGCAAGGCTGACACTCACGGGCAGACACAGCCAGCACTGATCCAAACTCCTGATTAAAGATCATCAAGTGTTCTTGTTCATTATATTCCAAATGTTGATGTGGATGCAGGGAACCAGTGGGCATTCGCCACACTATCTTCCTGTTTTCAAAGATCTACACAGCAAACGATCTGTACATAGAACACCTATCTACTATATCAAGGCCACAAGGCTAGAAGATGAAGACCACACATATACCAAGATAGTGACTGAAGTACTAGCAAAATGTTTACACCCCCATTTAGGAAGGGGTACAGCAACAGGTGATGCTCTAAACCTGTTCTCTGGCCTTTTTGCTTGGAGGAGATCACGCAGATGTGCCAAGACTGTGCCAAATGTTTTAAAAGCATGGTGTCTGTGTAAGTGACTTCTTACAAGAAAAAATGCAAGGAAGTCTCCATCTACAGCCCTGCCACAAAGCACTCAGAATAGAGGCCTAAGAGACAGCAATCTATCCTACCCCAATCATGTAAGCTTTAAATACCAGAGGTAACCTGTGAGTTAATCAGGCCTTGCCTGCTGGTACCAAGATTAATTACCACTAATGCTACTATGAGACACTTGTGTCCAGCTGACTGGTTTCCATTTCAGCCAATTACAGTATTTTAGTCATTAAAGTGGGTGGGTAACTGTGTTCAGCTAGAGCCCAGCATGCCCAGCATGTCTCCTGTATTAGACCAAGGGTGTGGTAGGTGACCTGCATGGAGGAGACACTGTGCACTGACCTGCAGCATTTGGAGGTAGCCTTCCTGTGGATCACAGAGCAGGGAAGAGATGCGATGGTTGTTCCTCATGCATTTCTGGTTGTCCTTTGCAGATGGGAAGATTTGTCGGACCACGGTCATCCTGCCAAGGGCACTGTGGACCAGATCCAGGATCTCGGGGTCACTGATTTCCTAAAGAAATAACCAGATAGATGCTTATACCCTCATGAATAAAAAAGCCAGTAGGAGGCATCCAGGCCAAAATCCCAAACAGTTAATGCTGAAGACATCAAAGGATTAGGTCCAGGCTCTACAATTCATTAGCTGATTCTTTACATAAAATACTTACCATCCTGTAGGTCCAAACAGCATTATTCAACATTCCCTCTGAGAGAGGTCTGGTCTGTAGTGTTGCCAAGGTATAGTAGAGACAAATATAATCCTTTACTGGGGAGCATACTGATTCTGCTAGATCTTGGCACACCAGGTGTTTTACATGCATTCATTAATGCCATACTCAAAAAACAACCCTAGAAATTCTAGGGGGGGGGGGGATCCAATTATTATGACATTTCATTCTCAAGCTTAGGAATTGAAAAGGGAGCTGCTTATAGGCATATCACTCCAAAGGAAGCTTCTACAAGAAATCAGCCTTAAACTGAGCCTAAGAATAAACATAGGTAAAGAAAGTGTGTGTGTGTGTGTTTGTCTGTCTGTCTGTCTGTGTCTGTGCACGTGAGTGCATGTGTGTGAGTGTTTGTGTTGAGGGCAAAGTGCAGAGCTGGGAACCTGGTGCTATAAAGACTACAGCAAGTAGATACACTTGGCTCCATGTAGAGGCATCAATGGAGGAGAAGCAGATGGAAAGTCAGGGTCCATCCATTCCACTTCAAACAAACAACAACAGCAACAGAGAAAGCAGGCATTTTCCATAGCGGTAGTAATGAGCTTGAAAAATTTTAGGGACAAATACACTATAATCAGAATGGCCTTTTTGAAAATTTCTGGTTGTTTTCTGGAGCAAGGATTGGAGAGAAACAAACAGAGGAGGTGGAGGCAGAGAAGAGAGGGCAAGGCTTCACAGCTGGGCCCACAACTGAGCTACAAACAAAGACATGGAAACCAATATTCACCCAGTGTTTCAGAAGTGGAGCAGCAGACTAAGGACATCCCAGACTCACTGTCTCTGAGAAATTACTACATCAACGCTTGGCTCCAAGTCAACATTTTAACTAAAATTAGTTGTATTTTAAAATAATCTTTAAATCTTCCTCTTACAGATGAGCCATTCTAGTTTTGAGTCCCTGTGACAGTACAAATGGAGCCAGCCAGGCAGGAAATTAGTGGTTGGGATTTCAAAATCATTTAAATGAGAGCATAACATTTTAAGGGCTAAAGTGCTAAATCAAGCATTTAGGGTCTGTCTTGGGTTTGCCTCTCTGTATCTGTGAAGCCCGGTCAGTTGACAGCACTTGCTAGATTGGGAAGAACAAAGCACAAAGACCCATCTTCTCTTAGTGTTGATTCCTAAGTGTACTGAGCTAACTGATCTCAAAAAAGTCAGAATGCTATTTAGTGTGGATCTACACCCATGCCACAGAAATTTATATTCATGATGGATTGGGACCAAGAGGTAACCAGAAGTGAAGAAATTGGTCAGAAATGACGGTCCCTGTACACAGAGAGCTTCAAAGTGGGCAGAGCTGGACATGTGCACTCGTTTCTGTTCTAGCAGCCCTGGGACCAAGGTCCTTCTGAGATCACAGGCTAGAGGATGAGAGAAATCACAGCCTAATCTCAAGGGGATGAGGGATGTCAGAAAGAGGAACAAGTAGGCCGTTCACTTTGCCTAAACTAGAAGCAGAGAGGACTTGGGGAGGGAATTTCCTATCTAGAAAATGCATGATGCTAGCCAGGCACAGGGGCTCGCGCTTACCATCCCAGCATTAGGGACATTGAAGGAGAAGAGTTGCTGCAAGTTCAAGGCCATCTTGGGCTACCTAGTCAGTTATGGGCCACCCTGGCCTAGAATGAGATTCTACAGACAAACAAACAAATCAGCAGAAGGGAGGAAATAAGGAACACAATCGTCATGAAACACAAAAGTGGATTTGTGAATAAAGGTGCTAGAGACAACACAACTGTAAATCAAAAACAATGTGTCTCATGCCATTTATTCTTCCCACATATTCTTGATAGAAAAATGCCACTATAGAGGCAACAGCCATTTTATAAAAAATCCTTTTACTAAGCCTCTCCTGCTTCTTCAACTGCCAGGAGGACAAGCAGAAATACTCAGTTCTCACCACCACACTCTAGGCACATTTTGGAAATTTGTTATGGATTTGACCTACATGGTGACCCAGTACTTTCAAGGCCAACTGGCTTCTTCACCTGTAGTGAGTAGCTAAGTCATACTGTGCTATGGCTTGTGGTGGGTACTCAATGCTTGCCCCCATTGGCCCTGATTTTCCAAAACTTCCTCTTCTATTATGCCTGCCCAGGACCTCATAAAGACATGGCACAGCCTTATGGCAATCTAATAGCTTCCATATGCCTCCCTGGCAGTGGGGATCGGCTGGAACCGTGTATACTTTCCTGTAATCCCTCACCCAGTTCTGCTCCACTGGTCAAGGCTCACAGCATGATCCCGTGACTCCTATCCCACTCCCTGTGCTTCTAGACTATCCTTCTTGTCCAATCCGGAGATATCTGCAAGGAAGACCTGGGAGTCCACTCAGTTATTTACAGACAGATAAAAAGGTTGAATCCCGTCCTTGCCCTAATTCTGAATAAAGATGAGCAGTCCATTCTAGCAGCTGCACGCCAGGATCTACTCCTGTCTGGCTAGCCCTGATGTTAGCAGAATGTATGTTAATATCCCATTATAAGAGACCCCAAACTCTAGACTTCCTGTACAGAGGAAAATATAAGCAGCCAATTTAAATGGGCAGCTGGGAGAGCAAACTTCCCCTTGTCCCAGTTCAGCACACATTCATAGTGCTGATGATAAAGGGAAGCAGCAGGGCAATGCGCAAGCAGCACTGTGGAGTCAACAAGTAGAGGAGAAAGGAAAAAAAGGCAATATATCATATGATGCTCTCAGGAGTTCAAAGGAGCCAAACAGGCTTCAATTTTTATACATTCTAAGTTATAGTTTTCACTGTGAGATAAGCCTAATCATTTTGTACATTAAATATGAACAACAAAATGAATTCACTGTATCTTCAATCAAACTAAGAAGTAAAATGATGCCCACATCTTAGCTGGATGGTTTCTCATGCCCACTCCTCCCGTCTAGCCACAAGCAGCATCTGTCACATAAGAGCATAGATTCCACGTAGCTTAGGCTTGTATATGTTGCACAATATGGATCCTTCTTGATCATGTTTTAGCATCATGTTTTTCATATGCTGCTGTACATTAGAGTCATCTGGGAGCTTGGTAACTGTACAGGAAAGCAGCCCTAATACACTTCAAGGAGGAAACACTCTGGGCTCTCCATGAGCACTCTAAATAATTTCCCAATAGTCATCTGCTTGCTTGTGGGATGGAGAAATGGCTCAGTGCTTAGAAGCCAGAACCCATGTGGAGACTCATAACCATCTGTAACTCCAGATCCGGTGACTCCAATTCCCTTGTCTGGACCTGAAGGTACTGCAAGCACATGGTGCACATACATACATGTAGGCAAAACACACACGAAGTAGAAATAAATAATTATTTAAAAATGAAACAGCTAGCCAAGCATTAGAGTTCTTAGGTTTATCCATGGCAATGGGAGTGGCTCTGATTTAATTTTTGTGCGCGACAATACTATATGACAAAGTCATCATTCATTCATCCATTGTTGATAATGTTTAGGATGCTTCATTTGTTGGCTTCTATGAACAATTTCCTATGCACCTTCATGTACTTATGCAAGAATTTCTCTTGTATATATCATATACCTAGGATTGTAGAATCCTGATAAGAGATTAGGAAGGAGGCTGGAGAGATGGCCTCAAAGTTAAGAGCACTGGCTGCTCTTCCAGAGAAGCAGGGTTCAAATTCCCAGCACCCACATGGTGTCTCAGTGTGTGTTAACTTCAGCTCCAGAAAATCTAAATCCACTTCTGGTCTCCCTAGGCACCTAGCGCTATGGATATACAGACATTCATTACATGCAGACAAAAATTCAAACAAAGAAAATAAATATAACTTTTAAAAAAGAATAGGAACATGCTCAAATTTATTAGAAAGTGTCAAATTCCTAATGGAGTTGTACCAATTTATAATCGTATATGGCAAAGGAGCATTAGTCTTGCCTACTTACCCACACCTTATATACAATATGACTTCCTAAGATATGCCAGTCTCATGAGTATGGATTGGAATAATGCTGGGGTTTGTTTTTGCTATCTTAATTCTTAATATGGTTGAGTATCTCTCATGCATTTCTGAATCATTTATGTCTCTTTTCCTGTATTTGTGGGTTGTTAAATTTCCATTGGGCAAACTTCTTGCATAGTGATTTATGGTTCTCTTGTTTTTAAATTTATTCTAAATAAGGCTTGTCATGTGCTACAAACATCTTCTCCAAGGAAAGGGATGTTTGGGTCAGGCTTTAAACCCTTCTAAGCTTAGGCCTAGACAGCCTTGCTCTGTGGGCGCTGTGCATACCTGCTTTATATGGTATTGCTATACAGTTGCTGGTGTCAAATACCTGTTGGCAAGTCCATCCATCAGGACTTTATTTATTCTTGAATTCTGCCTGTGTTTTCTTCACATATTTTAAAGACTTGTTATTAGTTGTATACAAGATTATAAGTCTAGCTTCCTGTTGAGCTGGTGGTTTTATTAGTATTTAAATATCCTCTTTATATCTAAGAATGCATCTTGCCTTATAGTTTCCTGTGTCTGTGGTTACTATAGCTATACTATTTGTATAAAGGTTATTTATCCACATTTTTCATAGCCTTTTTTCCTTTTATTTTTATCTGCCTTATGTTTGAGTGATGTGGGAGTCCCGTCTGTGTGCTATGATTACCATTAATTAATAAAGACACTGCCTTGGCCTATTGATAGAGCAGAACTAAGGAAGGCAGAGAGGGAGACGCTATGGAACCACCAGAGTTAGACATGCTGAAACTTTGCTCGTAAGACACTGCCACGTAGCAATGTACAGATAAATATAAATGGGTTAAATTGAT